AGGAGGGTCGCCACCCTCTCAGCCTGTCTGTACTCATTTCTGCTCCTTGAACGCTTCGAGGCAAGATGGGGAAGAAGTATTCAGTACTGTAAACACGAATGAATGGATTTATTTATTTATTTAATTAATTAATTAATTAAATTTGTATGCTGCCCATCTCCCCCAGCGGGTGACTCTGGGCGGCTCACAATTAAAGTAAAAACCACAGTTACAAAATAAATACCCACATTAATTTTAATTAATTACTTAAAAATCAGGCTACTTAATTCAAAGAATTCAAAGACAAAAAGCTGGTTTGCAAATCTCCCTAACCTGAACTGTTTTTGAAACTGATTTTTTTTTTTTAACGTCATGCCTTTGTGCCGTCATGCTTCACCACCTCCGCAGCCCAGTTCCTGGGAAGCAGTAGATTGGCAAGGAGGACCCCAGACAACATCCTTCTGCTGTGTGAAGAATGGGCAGAAAGCATTTCACACTTAATTTTCACACTGAGCAGTTTTATTATTATTAGATTTTTGGATTTATCCTACCTTCTATATATGTATAACACAAGGCAGTGAACATGCTTAACGCTCCTGCCTATTTCCCCCCAGCAACAACCCTGTGAGGTGGTTTGGGCTGAGAGAGAGTTACTGGCCTAAAGTCATCCAGCTGGCTTTCATGCCGAAGGGAAGCCTAGGACTCAAGTCTCCTGCCTTCCACGCCAGACCCGCTGTACAGTTTTACAAATAATGGATTTAATGTCTTTCTGCTCAACTCAGTTTCCGTATAACTGTTAAAGAAAGGAGAATATCCTCTCTCAATGAGGTATTTTGGCTTAGTTTCTGTTGTTTCTCTCATACAGAACCAAAACAGTAACCATGTGCATACAGACATTATGCTAAACCATAATGTGTTTGGTTTTGGCAAGCCCAGCAATTGTAGTTTGTAAACCATGATTTATTACTTAGTGCAGTCTGTGAAGCCAAAAGCAGTTTAATTATTTTTAGAGGTAGCACGTCACACAGTCTTTTGGTCAGACGTTTTACTCACAATTTTTGACGGTGACCCTCCTGAATCTTGGTATCCCACATAACACCAATAACACCCGAGCTGCATTGCTTGCCAGTTGGTTTCCAGGTACAATTCACGGTGCTGGTTACCATCTTTAAAATCCAACATGGCTTGGACCCTGGTTCCCTTACTCCAGGCACAAGGTGTGCCTGCCAAGTGCTTGCTGAGAGCCCTCATCCTTTGTGAAGTGTGATGGGAGGAGACCTGGAGGTGACTTTTTTTTTTTTTTTTGCAGAAGCTCCCCATTGCTGGAACATCCATCAGATACAAGATTGGCACCCTCCTAACATTTAGGAAGCTGCTGAAACTTGGACAGTGGAGTGAAAGGTTGCATTTGTAATGACCAGCAGGGCTATTAGTTTGAATATGAAATGGAATTATGGATTAGGATACCTGTTTTGTATTCTTGATTTTGCTGTAATAGTGTAGATTACAGGTATTGAGGATGTACCTGTACACCACTTGAAATCATATGACTGAAGTGCCATAAAACTCCCCAAATAACCATATAAATAGATCCAGGGACACATGGAGAAGAGTGGGCACAAAAAGGGACTGTGTTGGTTTTTTTCCCTGTTGGGTTTTCCTTTATATATTCCCTTGTGTGTATGAATAAAGCAAGGCAGGGCTAGAAGTAGAGAAACAGCTCTCCCCTCTGGCAATTGCACATCTAATTTTGGCCCTGACTCTCAGGTGACTGAAATACCCACTAGTGCCCTGATTCTGTTTTAGGAAAACCATTTGGTGTGCACACCCAAATTTTGGACTATTCTAATGAACTGACCTTTGTTATGGGAATTGTGTTCCAAGTTCTCTGCTTGCATCATTGGAGTTTAGGTCTCTAAAATGCTGCCTGAATGTCCTAAAATAGCATTCAAGTACTCTTTTCCTGGCTGATTTGAATTTGAATTAGAGAATGGCAGAGTGATTTCTTCACTCCAAAAAGCCTACCCTATCTGTGTAGTACTGAGACCTTCAGATACATATCCATGCATTCTGTGCCATGTGTTTTGCTTGTCATTGAATTGAGAAGACTGATTGCAGATGAGCAGATTTGGAGATACTTGCTTTGTTCAACAGAGAGAATGGTATAATTCTTAGGCAATTGGAGGCTCTAAAATTTTTTTGCATGGATATGAGTTTTGTCTGTACACTGATATACATGCACACACATATGCACACAACTACTAAAGGAGGGAAAATATCTTTATAGGACTCAAATGGGTTAAACAAATCAGAATTTTTAAAAAATTGTAGATTGTGGGGGAAAATATTTTCAAAATATAATGAGACTTGAATAGTCAATTATCTTACTTTGTGTCGTCCCCTGAAATAATTATACTGGTAAGGTACTTTTTTACCATATTAGCTGTCTCTAGTGGATACTTTCAAAGATTGTAATGTATCGATAATGAAAGAGAACGATTTTAAAATTAAATATTAAATGTAGGGCTCAATTCATAATCATGTGCAATTCAAATACTATTCTAACATTTCTAAATCCATTCTTTGGAATAACATGCAAACTGAACATCGTTTCACGTGTTCCTGCCAGGATGCTTCACGTGGAACATCCTCTCTGTGATGGGCTGGTACAGCTTGCTTGAGCCAGAGAAACCCCGTTTTGTCCATTTTTGTTCATGGTGCTCCCCTTCAGGCCCCTTTACCCCACATTGCAAATTCCTGGAACAATCATGTGGTTACTGTTATCGAAGAACTGACCCAGAGCAGCATTAGATTCAAGGCCAATTCCTTTTTTGTTAGAGATAAATTAGCTGAAAGTTCTACATACCAGTCTTATCAGATAGAGACAGATAGAAGGGAAGGGGCTGCAATATTTTAGCAAGGAGCCCACCTCTTGGGGAGGCTCTGCCCAACAAGGGGTGTGAATAATTTACTGCTTATTGCCTATTGCTTACTAATGATGATGTGTTTTTGTTTTCACAAATGTATAAAGGCTATACTTATTTATGTATAGGGGCTCTCGACTTGTGACTTGGGTCTGCCTCTTTATTACTCTACAGAATCAACAGGTTGCAGTTTCCCAACTTGTGTGTGATTTTGGCTCTTCGCACCAGGTAAATGATCCAACATTTGACTGGGCCAATCCACAACTTGGCCAACATCTGGAACACTGCAAACAGCTTCTGGATAGGATGATTTAGTTCTGGAAACTCAAGTTATCTCTGGAATGACATGGTTTAGGAGGAAGTTCAACAGTCCAGAGAAATGGAACGTTCTGGAATTCTCAGAAATGTTTCAAGACTGATGAATTTTGCACATCCCTAAATTGTGGCAATTCATGTCAACTGTTTTGGAATTTGGCATGTTATGAAAGCAAAAGCACAGACAAGCATCTATTTTCTGGAATTAATGTATTAGGTAAATAAATTATTTTTGTAAGTCAAATGCTTTCTGAATGATTTGAGAAATTATACACTTTTTGAATTACCTGATAATGTATGTTGCCCAAGTCTTACCTAAGATACTTTTATGGAAAATCCACCCTCTAATCTTTCAGTGCTGGTTACTACCAGTTAGTACTTCTACAAAATACTGAAATGGAGTTTTCTAGAAAACTGAACTTGCAATTAAAGGCAGGATCCCTCCACAACTCCTGGCTGCTGATACACGTTACAGAACTCTCACCAGTAAACAATGCCACTTAGCCTCTGACTTAAAAGTGACTGGGGATTTCTCTTCTGAGTTATCTATAATAAAAGATTATGCATTTGTGCTCTACCCTTTCTGCACACAATTATTGCAATTCCCATTTTTGTTAAATCAGGGTGTTCTTTTCCACTACAGTGGTACCTGGGTTCACGAACTTAATTCGTTCCGTGACTCTGGTCGCGACCCGAATCAAATTTTCCCATAAGGTTCAATGTAAATACGGTTAATCTGTTCTGACCCCTCTGAATTTGGTCGCGACCCGATTTTGGTCGCGTCCCGAATCAAATTTCCCCATAAGGTTCAATGTAAATACGGTTAATCTGTTCTGACCCCTCTGAATTTGGTCGCGACCCGATTTTGGTCGCGTCCCGAATCAAATTTCCCCATAAGGTTCAATGTAAATACGGTTAATCTGTTCTGACCCCTCTGAATTTGGTCGCGACCCGATTTTGGTCGCGTCCCGAATCAAATTTCCCCATAAGGTTCAATGTAATTACGGTTAATCCGTTCTGAACTATATATATATATTTTTTTAAACCGCAAAAATATGAAACAAAATACAGTACGAAGAGAGAGAACGCTAACCTTGCTCAACGCGACTTCTGGCGTGGAGGACAGGAAGGCGGGTGGGGAGGCGGGTTTTGCTTGGAGGGGGAGGCCCCCCCCCCCCCGGAAGCCAAGACCACCGTGCGTGGGGGGGGAGATGGGCCGGGGGAGTGTGTT